AATATGAACAGACACTTCACTAAGGAAGAGATCAGGGCAGCCAACAAACATATGAAGAAATGCTCACGATCACTAGCCATTAGAGAGATGCAAATCAAAAAACCATGGCACGTGCTAGATAATAATATTCCCCTGAGTGTAGCACCCATAGCACATGTATATAGTCACCAAAATGGGAAATGCTCCTCTTGATCTGTGGATTCAACTGTCCCAGGTTGATGTTCAGATGTCAGAAATATCATGCATCCAAGCGCCCCTCACCATACTACTGAGGACAGACAATGTGTTTCCTGTCTTTTCTGAGAAGTAAAGTTTCATTAGACATTAGAAGTAGAGCAACTAGACTGCTAACTTTAAGGTCATTAGTTAGAAACTACCAGCCATTCTGTGGGGAAAAGATGAGGCTTCCTGCTCCCATAAAGGTTTATAGCCTCAGAAACCCTATGTAGGGTCACTGAGTCAGAACTGACTCCATGGCACACCACCACCACTAGTGTCTAAACTCTAATAAGCATCCTGCTTGCTGACTGCTGACATGTCATCAGAAACCAAAAGGTTTGATCCCAGACTTTGAAGACTTTCATTGAATGTTTATTTGAATTTATCTGGTGGTGTAAATATTTTTTTCTGGTTAAGGAAATTGGGTTTTGCCTCATTGTTCATTCAGAGGAAATGTTTAGGTGATTCACTCTGAAAGTGTGGTCAGATTAAAAACCAAAGTGAAACTGTTTTCCTTGGCAAAAAAATAATCAGTTAAATGTCTGAGCATTTCTCTATGGGAAAAAAAAAATCTTTAGTTAACATTTTATGTAATCAATAAAGTGTGCTACTAGGTACAGAGTGTGAAGCAGATTGAGGATATAATAATACTTGACATCTGTCCTATAGAAGATTATGGAATAACATAAAATGATAGATTGTTGTTTCTTGTTGCCATAGAGTCTGTTCCTACTCATAGAAGCCCTGTGCACACAGAATGAAACACTGCCACCTCCTATCCTATCCTCATAATTGTTATGTGTGAGCCAATTGCTACTGTACTGTGTCAGTCCATCCCGTTGGTGATCTTCCTCTTTTTCACTGACCTTCCACTTTACCAAACATAATGTCCTTCTCCAGGGACTGGTCCCTCCTGATAATATGTCCAAAGTATGAGAAACGAAGTCTGGCCATCCTGGTTTCCAAGGAGCACTCTGGCTGTACTTCTTTCTACACAGATTGGTTTGTTCTTTTGGTAGTTCATGACACTTTTAATACTCTTCTCCAAGACCAGAACTCAAATGCATTAATTCTTCTACGGTCTTCTTTATTCACTGTCCAACTTTCACATGCATATAAAGTTATTGCAAATACTATGGCTTGGGTCAGGTGCACCTTAATCCTGAAACAGACATCTTTGCTCTTGAACACTTAAACAGGTCTT